CTTTTCACGACTATTGAAATACGTTTGAGTCTAATAAAATTAGTTAAACATACTTAAAAATAATGCATTGTATTGTTAATTAGCGATCCGTTTAATGCGTTGTATTTTTTTGGTTTCGCTAGTAAGCCCGAAATGTGCTGAAACCTTGCAATAACTTTTTGGACTCATAACCTTAGATATGGAGGGAAACTGGAGTTCTAGATCGGAAATTCAGTCGAACAATGATAGGTCTAAATTGTAGTTTCAGAAAGTTTGGAAGTTTTTGTGGCTAAGATGATGATTTTTGTGATATGTGGATTCACATTATGCAATAGTCTGATTATGTGAATACGTATATTAAGTTTGAAGAACATTAACTAATTTGTAGAATACAATGCTGAATCGAGATTATGGTATGAATTAGTAGGGTTAAGATATGACAGTTGTGGTATGGATTCTGATGTTATATAAAAGGTGAATGTTAGATTGTGTGCAATCAACGAGGACATGTCGATCCCCTTAGAGAATGTAATTCGGTTGACAAGCCTAAGGTGGCAGACAATTTTTTGTGGTGACGGTCCGCCCAAATTTCATGTGTCATGAGATATTATTATATGTGATAATGAGATATGTGAATGTGATTAGTGAATTATGGATATGAAGTAATGTGATTAGAAGATTTTGTTGTGTTAGATGTTATATTGTATCCTACATGACTGTTAATAACCAAGTCACTCTCTTGAAGACAAAGTCTCTGGTTCCCAAAGAGGGTTTGGATTCAAAGTCTCATGGGCTGGAAGAAGAAGATAAGGAAGATCCCAACAAGCCCACTAAATCTTCAACGTTAACGGAAACATCTGTTATTAATGTTAACAGAAACATAGCACACAAAAAGCATGATCGTTGTACGACTTCTACAGCTCATCAAATCCATACGAGCAACAAATTTGACGCTCTAGGATCTTGTGCTATCATGTGCAATTGAGACACATGTCGTACTCTCATATGATGTCCTTTACTTTACATATCAAGCCTTGATGTAATCGGATCTTTAAGTTGAATGATAATAAAAGTTCATCTTCCTAAAACGCTCTCGTTCAAGCTTTTCTTAAAAGCTTTCATGGTATCAG